TACCATACCATGGGAAGCCCTTAAATGGTTAGGACCACAATCATCATAGATCATCTTAATAAATCCACTTTGGAAGGTACTGCGCTTAATATGTTCAGCCACTAGCATCCGTAATAAGTTTATAATCTAATATCAGGAGACACAATTCTGTGAAATTATTTACCAACTAGGTCCACTAATAAGAGATATAGAAGTTAAAGACCAACACATCCACTCACTCCATTTTGTGATCTACATAGCAAATGAAACTAGCTTTAGGTAAACCAAACAAGCAAACCAAAAAACAAAACCAGGCTAAGCAGATATCTCAAATAAGTATTGGGTAAATGGAGAAGAGCAATACTCAAGGATGATTTATCAAGAAAACACATGCAGTGTGGCCAATCAAGCAGCAAAATTATCCAGAAAAAAAAGGTATAAAAAATTGTAACAGACTGGAAGTACCATGGGACAATCAACCCGACAACTCCAATGGGTTCCTTGATCACGTAGCTCTTAAATGCCTTCACAGGAAGAGAGATAGGAGCTTTTTGCTTCGCATCTAAACCTTCAGCAAGGTCTGCTTAGTACTCGAAGCAACTGATAACATCATCCTAAAACACATAAATAAATAGGTTAAAATCCAACAAAAAATAATAACATAACATTTGGAAATTTGTTGCTGGCATACCATGTCAGCTTCTGATTCTTTAAATGGTTTCCCACAATCAACCGTTTCAAGTTTGGCAAGCTCGGGTTTTCTCTCTTTTATCTGGATCATTTAAAAAAGATTAAATATCGGGCCATGAAAATAAAAAGGTTACAGTCGTTTCCATCAACAAAGCAAACATACCAATTGCAAAAGCTAATAGGCATATTACAGTTAAAAGAAATTCTGCTTAAAATACAAGTTCATCATCAACTGAACCCGCCTGCATGGTTACACTAGTTTAAATCAATTACACCTGGCATATCTGAAGCCATTTCATTATGTCCACTAAAGTAATGAATCTAATGACAAGGATTTTTTTAAAGAAAAAGCAAATAGCTTGCTATCTGACCATAACCCCAACAGCATATCCATAAATTCCTTGAGAACATACAGATTGTTTGTAGGAAGGATAAACTAAAGACATTAAAATATATACACATATCATAGGAAAAGGGTGCGATTTTCTTTTGCGAAGTTAGATTGATCTATCTAGTCCCAAGTTAGCACATTAGTCTTTATTACAGAAGCAATGCTTCACTTTGGCAACCATTGTTCAGATTAATGAGACTCATTAGGTCAGTCATTTGATAAAACTAAAGACATTAAAATATATACACATATAGGAAAAGGGTGCGATTTTCTTTTGCGAAGTTAGATTGATCTATCTAGTCCCAAGTTAGCACATTAGTCTTTATTACAGAAGCAATGCTTCACTTTGGCAACCATTGTTCAGATTAATGAGACTCATTAGGTCAGTCATTTCCACTAGCAAACAGGGCAAGTTGTAAAATTGAGCTTCATTTGCTCAACTTTGTCTTACAATTAGTATAATTATTTAGACCGCAAAGTTTAATTCCATTTTTCCAAACAATTGGCTTTGCATGGAAAAGTAAATTCCCAAATTTTACTTTTTATTGCAGCCATTATCAAGGTTTTAAATATCATTTGCGGTCACGTTTTCGGTCGCGTCGCGTTTATCACGGTTACGGATATAATGAATGTTATTGCGGTCATTGAGGATATCGCGATCGTGAATTTTTTTCGGAGGAGCTGATTTTTTTTTTTAATAAAAAACCTGTTTTAAAAAAAAATTAAAATAACAGAATAATAGCGGAATATAGGTCCACTATTTCTACGATTGACCGCGATCCGTTAAATTGCGGCCGTGATCTGCCGTTATTGGTGTGATCCCGCTTCACACCGTTATTTTCCGCTATAGTGGTTTCGGACAACGCCACGACCGCGATATATCGATCACGATACCGTTATTCAGCCGCTATTTGAAACCCTGACCATTATGAATAAATTGATGTTACTTATAAATTATTTAGCCATTCTAATCAAGTTCTTGTTGCTATTGCTTTGCATGCTACAGCAAAATCCCAAAGAAAAAAAATGAAAATGGACTAAAAGTCTTAAAAACATGTGAATTCGCAACTTTTACAGAAATTCCTTTTATTGCAATACTTCAATCAACCCATTGGCACACAGAATAACGTAATAGCCCCCTAAAAAACATGGATCTCATCTAGTGTTTCCCTGGTCTTAAACAAACAAGATTGTGATTAGTTAATTGCACACAGTAATTGTTTGCTACTAAAAAAAATAAAAATAAAAGCAAAAGCAAATAGTACTTAACAACTAAGAAAGAAAACAAAGACTTAAAATAGCAATCACCATAGCAGCAATAGCACGCTTGTACTTAGCACGGACTGCACCCGAAGCTGTGGCCCATTCTTTACCTATGTTGCAATGATACGGATACAAGACGGATACGGGGACGAGAATGAGAAATGATAATTTTTAAAATTATAGGGTATGAGTACGACAAGAGTACGACATATAAAATAATTTTAAAATTATAAATATATAAAAAATCATAAATAAAGTCAAATATCATGATTCAAATTATAATATTAAATTTAAAACAATAAAATCATAAATTGTTTGTTTTTCTATTAAAAATATTAGATTACTTTCATGCAACTTTCTTAGTATAATAATAATTTAACAATAACTTGTTATTGTTTTATGATAGAGTGCAATAATTCAACTACTATTTTAATTTGACAAACTGCTTAATTGATAATATCACCCAAAAAATAATAGATTAACAAAATAAACATGAAAGGTTAAAATTATTGAATTGTTTTGAATTAAGAAAAAATAATAGAATATAAAAGTTCTGAAGATTAAAAAGGTTATTATACCAACCACATTAGATGTTCGTTTAATTTTTAACGACAAAGTAATCAATTTGTAATACTATTTTAATAATAGTAATTTGTTTATAACGTTTAGAAAAAAATTGTCACAAATTGAATGTCTTATAGTGCATTTTACCCAAAAATAAATAAACTAACCTTTTGTTGTACAATCCTGGTTTTAAGCAAAAACTCCAATTTCAAGTTACTTGGCATTTAGAATCTGAAAAAAAGTTTGAAATCAAACTCACATATGAATTAACTAACCTTTTGTTGTACCAAAATAAATAAATAAGGTTGTGGATGAAAATAAAAAAAAAGATTAGTCTAATGAAAATTTGAAAACTCTTTCTCCCACCTGCAATTACTGAAAACTGAAAATCAACTGGTTTCTTTTTCTTCTCTCTCATTCAATTCTGCAGAAAGCTAAAGACTCAACTTTCTCTCCCTTGTTATCCTTTGTTTCTTTCTTCTCCACTCGGTGGCTCGATGTCAGCCTCGCTCGGTAGGTTGCAAAAGCTACGCCACCTTGATCTACTTTCATTTTCTCCGCCTGATACCATCGGGGACGTCCTCGAAACGTCCCCAAATAAACTTCTTTACCTTTGTTCCGAGTAATCCACATCTTCAGCCGTCGCCGTCTGAATTTGACCTGAAAAAGAAGTAAAAAAAATATGAACAAATCCTCAAATTCTATGCAGATCAAAGGAAAGTAACATGAACAAGAAAAAGAAACCGATGATTTCTTCAGTAGAGGGGTTGATAATAGGGATGCGTTTCTTAAGCAAAGGCTCAGTCCAATTGCCGTTGATGAACAGTTAGGGATCGCCATTGCTGCTCAAGTGCCGTGTGGCGAGGTGAAGTGAAGTGGTGGATCGATAATTTGATACTTGATGTGATATAGGCCAATTAATAATGTTGCAGATGCCATTTTTATTCGACGAGCCAACTGAAAGTGATCTTTTTTCTTTCTTTTTTTAAGCTTCACCTTTTTGAATTTCAATGGCAATCTTTTGCTTCCACTGTGTGCGTACTTGTCGTTGATATATTTGGTTGTTGATGCTACTCCCACGTGTCTGGTGAATGTGACGATTAAGAATGTGCCGATGAAAACTCCCAGCAGATGCTGAGCATTGGCCGGACACGTGGCTATGTTTAATGGAAAGCTAGAGCGGTTTTGTCGGCCTATTTTATTATAACAACACATTTCCTATATTATTTAGAGTAAATCACATTAGATGTCCTTAAATTATATCAAAAATAATATTTTGTCAGTAAACTTTCAAATACTACAAAATAGATATTAAATTTCAAAAAGGTTATGGAGTGGTCATTAAGATTTATCAAATTGTTATAAGATGATCATTAAATTTATTATAAAATAATCCTTAAATTTATTAAAAAAATTATTCCTAATTTATAACATATCGGGGTTTTTTTGTAATAATTTGATAAATTTAATGATAATTTTTTAATATATGAAAGCTCATTAGTCAAGAAAACCAAATCTTACATAGTTCAATGATCTCTAGCATACTTTACCCAATTACATATGAAATTGACATCCTTTATCAATTATTTACCGAAATATTAACTAATTTGTGTAGTGAGCGTGCTCCTAGGACAAAAACATGTAAATGAAAAAATATTTTAATTAAAAAAATAGACAACATCTTTAACAAAACAAGGTTTTATTAAATAATAACATTTAACCTTGGTGCTGAAATCATGTATGAATAGTCATTGAATTTTGGATCAAAATTCAAAAGTTGAGTGATAAAATTTTAAGAAATTTAATGATCAAAACAAAAACATAATAAAATTTGTTTAATTTATCCATTCAAAATCTATAGTATCGTTAGAATCACATTAATTGACTCAACCAACAAATTAAACGAGGAAATGATTAATGTTCTACGTAGGTACTTTGGGTTCAAGGACTAGCTACTACATCACCTTCCTCAATTGGTAACCTTGTAATGTAAAAGATGAGAGATTCAGCGTCTCTAAAGAGGTACTCATTGGATGCGATCACGATGAAGAAAGCATGATGTATGATACATGGAATGGAATGACATAATATGCATAGTATGAAGAAACCATATATGTTAACGTCCCCTATCATGTCTACATGGAGCGTTCGAACCCCATTAGTGCTGTCAAAGAAGCTCGACGAACAGGCTTGCTCTAGGATATAGACCAGCATCTTTCAGTGTCATTCCCATTTGATCAACACTGTATACTCTTTTCGGGAAGCTCGATATTAGCCTGTAGTTTCCGATCCCGGGTAGTCCTAATGAGTCTATGTATCTGTAAATTGAGAGGATCTTGTCTGTGGAAGAGAAGCTCTGCTCTCTACTTACACCGCTAGGAAACCGAATCAATATCTGAAAATTCATCAGGTACTTTAATGTTTGAGAATCATGTTGTTCTGATTATAACAGTAAATTGGTTTGTAACAAGCACCTGAGTGTCCTTCCCTTGAGCAGATGAGTTCTGCCTTGATTTACTTGGTTGTTTCTCTGGATGCATCTGTCTAAGCTTCTCGTAATTTGTTTGATTGCAGACTTCTAATGGCTTTTGTGTTCTTGCTTTCCTGAGCTCTTCCTTTTCCTGCAATAAAAGAAAACACACACATTGTTCTTGTTAATCGATGTTCGTGTCCGAATATGGCTTATTCATGTCCGAATATGTGACACACTTGGTCTCTCCGTAAAGCAGCGAAATATGCAGCATCTTGTTCTTCTCGCAGCCGACGATCCGCCCTTAATTTTTCCTCCTCTTTAGCTCTGGCTCTCATCATTTCCTCTTCATTATTCCTCGCACTACTATTCTCTTCCTCCCTCCCTCTTGCACTAGTGCCGAAAGCAGACCCTTGCTCTTCGATTGTCCTTTGTAGAATCTCGACCAGCTCGGCTGGATCAATTGGACCCTCCATCTAAAACACAAACAAGGTAATCTCATCGTCGATACTATCGATCGAGAGTATTAACGAATGAGCAAATTCATGTTAAACCGACCTGTTGCAGCACAGCAATACTATTGCCAGCAGCCGGGGCAATCACGGCACAGAAAGGGAAGGTAGCAGGCTGGAGAGTTGCAGCCATTTGTAAACCCTCTCCTCTGTCCGCGATTGCTCCCCAGGATATGAAGTTTGCATCGAGAAACTGTACTACCGGCTCCGAACTCAAAGTCGTCGAACAAAACGAGGGGGTGAAGGGATGTTCAGGGGAGTGGAGATACATGAACATCAACTTGTGATCATCCTCGGCTATCTTTAGAGCCTGCATGAAACTACAGCAGTAGAAGAATGGATGCCTAGTGCCATATTTGTGTTCCAAACAGGCTAGAAAAGCTTGATCTTCGGGAACGGCTGCTGGGTGAAGTAGCTGTTGATGTTGTAGCTGTGGTCCCGCCGGTGGCTGGAATTGGTTTCTTCTACCCATTATTGCTCTCGAAAACCCTCCGATTATGCATCTTGGAAGGCATACTATCCGACAAAAAATCCCATTGCAAGACGGTTGCCTCCTGGTTCTCACACTTGCTCTTATCTTCCAGGACATTGCATAGTTGTTTTCTCACAAGAATGCTAAGGATTGATCAGATTTTAATTTATAGAAACGAGAGCTGGTCGTTTGGCAAGGAGGAAAATTTAGAAGAGGAACTAGAAAGTAGAAAGCAAAGTTGTTGATATTCCCTTGGGGAATTTCTCACTCGATCTGTCGTGATCAACTTTGTTACACACTTTAAAGTTGTTAAAGAGCACTGATTCGTACTGCCGGCCATTTGTACAGAACTCCAAGGAAGATGAAGATTAATTGGCGAATATTATTAGTAGATTATAATTTAAGATTGCATGTAGAATGTAATGCATATATAATTTTCGTAACATTCATTTTATAGGTAACCTTAGATTGCATACATAATCTCATATTCAGATTAAATTATATATGCATATATTATTAGCAGATTATAATTTAAGATTACATGTGGAATGAAATGATCAAAGATTCTTGAAGTTTCACCGTTTCCGCCATCATTGGGAGCGCTTTCTCTGCCATCTTAACCAGCTCTGCGTTAGGTTGGTTTTCTTTAAAAGTCTCTGGATTTTATCGTTGCTGATCGAATTATAACCCCTTTTTTTGGTTACTAATGCTATTTGATTCTTTACGTATTCATGGCCCTTGAATGTAGGTTTTGCAATAAATTGATTTCTGCCTGTTATTTGATAATCAATCAAATTATGTTGCATTCGGGATTGAATTGCCTAGGTCTTATATATACTTGCAAAGCGTAACTAGGATTGATATGTTGTTTTGGTTTCACAGAATTTAACATGTAGGACAGTTTGAATTTGGTGGAGATGGATATTCATATTTTTTGTGTTTGCAGTGGGGAACTTGTTAGGGGCATTGACGGGGCTCACGGAGAGTGGGTTCGTTCTAGGGGCTACCGTTCAGGCTATCTTCGGTGCAGTTTTCTCAATCTAAGTCTTTGAATCCTCTCTTCTTATTTGGCTGTCCAACGAATCCAGGATCCGATGGATTGCAAGCCTTCTAAGCGGGAGGCTTGTTCGAGAACTAATCGGCCCGGCTATGCTGAGTGCAATCCAAAAGTCAGATGGGTGCTGCCGAGCCGGAAATAACATTTGAGAATGACCACGTCTTTGACACTGCTGCTGCTGTTAAAGGATTGGCTAATGGCTAGAAATGTTGAAAGAATCCCAAAGATTATAATCACAAGCAATAACAATGCAGATGCTTTTGGGGGATAAAGTTTCATGCTCAGTTTTCCTCCGGGTCTAGTTCCTATTATTGCAACCCGTTCTTAGTAACATTTAACTAACCGCCATTAATGATAAATGCAGGACTTTCAGCCTGGAGAAACAGTGAGGAGCTTGCCCTTAAATGAAAAATGAAAAAAATACTTTAGGTACTTGAATGAAAAAATGGTATAATTTAGGTATTTATTTGTGATATAAGTCTAGTCAACTTATTGCAACATGTAAACACAGGAAAGTCTCCATCTACCATTGTCAATTTCCAGAACATGAGCTGATCAAAACAAAAAAAGGAAAATGACCCAGAAAAATGTCCAGTCCAGTCAACTTATTGCAACAAGTAAACAACAGTTCTAGGTATGTCAACATAATTTACAGAACCCAAAATCTCCAGAATTAGAGCAGGCAAAGATACTGGGCTTGCAAACTAAATAGAGTATGTCTCTCGGGTTAAAATGATACATTGTACATAAAAAATACATATGTAATAAATAAATAAATATTAATTAAAGGACTGCAACTTCTCTTTTCTTTGAAGATAAGAATCGAGAGCATCCCATAAGAGGATAACCGTGTGCTAGATACAACAGTAGAAGTTGCTAAATGCTAACCTCATCAACCGACATTAAGTTGCGGCACAAGAAGCCAGAGTTTTAGCACGCTGGTTAATTCCTCCTCCCCTGAGGGACAATGAAGGGCTATTTACTGAGCTGGCTTTGCTCACAATATTCGAGTCGAGAAATACAACTATGACTGTGATGTCATCATGGAAATGTCTGCGTATGCCTCGCTCAATCTTCTTCAAATCCGAGTATCGCATTTCTCTCTTTTTTTGCAGCTTCCTGCAAGGCAGCTTTCACAAGCCTCCTTGCAATCCCCTGTGAGACAAACAAACACAAGACAATTAATATCAAATACTTTTTTCCATGCACCTCACTAACAGGGCTCCTCGACAATGATATGACTATTGCCACATTGAGAGTTAATACATTAGAATCCACAAGTCATTCATATCCCTACTGTCATTCTATAACAGTTCCAATAACACATATAGGACAAGACAAACAAAATATGGGGGATTGGTTGCTAAGGGCTCATTATAAGCTCAAATTGCAATAGGACAGTATAACTTCAAGTTAAGATGAAGATTCATTGAAAAGCAAATAAATATGCACAATTTAGCCGCTTGGTGTCGTACAACATAATTCATGCAGTAATAAGTATATTATAACTAGCTTAATAGTCCAACCACACTAATTCTCCACTAAGAGAAGTATTCTTACATTGCTTGGATGGTTTTGGACTATGTCAACTGCATCCTGATTGCTGAGATGTTCCCAGAGTCCATCAGAAGCAAATATGATAAACTGATCATGAGGTTGGAGTTCATGTGTAGATATTGAGGGTTCAGAACTCAAAATTGGCTTTCTAAACGTTTCACGAAGACGAAACTTTTGATATAGAGGTGCCCTGTTGTATTCGGCCTTTTTAAGATAAACATCACCAATAGATCTAGAAACCTGCAACAGAAAGGTTTTGTCAATGTTACATGTATATTAGGACACATAACATCCCGGAATTTATATTATCTATTGCTGATTAATGGAAAATGTTGTGAGCAAATAACTTGGTTAAAAATATAGCTTTATCAAAGGAGTGCTTTAGAATTACAATATTGACATAAAGGATTAAAAATAGACTAGATCTCCTTCACTTGGTTAACTTTCGGTTCAGTTAAATTTTACATTTTAGTTATTTCAATCCATTTATAGCATTAGCAATATCAAGAAAATATAACTTTCAAAGAACCTTTAGTATGCCTTCTACTAATATCCAAACAAATAACTTACCTGTATCAGGCCCTTTACACGCCAAACATTATGCTTTAAAACTACAATGTAGGAGTCATCAGGATGCAAAGAACGCATCTCCTGCCTGACAGACTCTATTGCTACATTATGCTCAGATGACAGCTGGATTGCTAGAACCTCCCCGGTTGCCTTGACAAGCCTACCAAGCACAGCACGAGAATCGCCAACGTTAGCAATGTAAAGGGTCCCATTGCAAACAACACCCACCAGGCAACATGATCCAACAGCTGCAATCTGGGGATTCATGAGCCATTGTTTTGCAACAATAGAGAAAAAGCCCTCTTCTGTTGCTTGATATGCTTTCTTTATAACATCGACAGACATTGATTGCTGCTCCGCGGCGAACCCTGCAAAACAGTATCACCAACTGGGTCACCAAGTCATCAACCAGATTCTCATCCTAGAATTTTGGCACTCAATGAACTTGTAGTGCGAGTTCAATAGCTCCTCCTTGACACTGCTAAAACTACAGATTTATGCATTAGAAATCTACGATGCCAGAAATTGTTACAGGTCCCAAGGTCTCTTACTCTTTAGATGCTGGAACAGATGATCATTGATATAGCGTGATGTCTCGGGGCCACCATGACCATCATATACTCCTACAAAGGTACCTAATGGACCAGACTCAAGAGTGCTCAAGGAACCAGATTCAATCTGGCTCTGATCCTCAAGCAGATTGTTAGCCTGAACAACAGCCATGGAAAACTCACCAGTCAAGTGTTGCCCTTTGTCTTTGTACCAAAGGAGCCCATCTTGCCGGCCTGCTGCATCCGAACCTGTGTGGACCGATCGGCCCAAAGATGGCTGCCAGCAGGCACTCAAAAAATTGATCAACCTTGATAACATCCCTCATCTCACCACAGCCGGCCTCCGATTCCTCCTCGACATCCAAAAATTGGATGCAGCAAACCCCCAAAAATAATAAACTCCCACCAGAGTCCTCTCCTGCACGCCAAAAATAAAAAACATACGCACAGCTGTTAAATCAACACTCAATTGAACAAATAGTAGCTTAAACAACCAATCGTCAAACCGATCCCTTAACGACCCCGAAAGCAAACTTATGACCAGAAACCGAGAACCCAAGCTCAATTCCGCACAAAAGTATAAAATGAGGGGGAAAAGGAAGAAATCTTTAGCAAATACTGACAATTAAGTTAATGAACAAAAACGACAACTGTTGTGGCCAAAAGGAAAAGTGAAAAACAAAACAGGGAAAGTCAAATCTACCTTTTACATTCCCACAATTGAACAAAACAATAAAATTCGGTTAATACAAACGAAGTTCCAAAGCTATAGATGCTCAGTAACTAATCAGAATCATATTTTAAAAGAAGAAGAAAATCAATCACATAAACAAATTCAAAAAAGGAAAAATAAAAAACTCACGGTAGAATTCAGCTGTTTCGTACTGTAGTATTCAGCTACTGAATGATAAAGCAGATGCAATCGACGGAGGTCTGAACGGAAAAAAGCAGTACTTGTGGGGTTCTGAAAGCGTGAGATCTAGATATCCATCAAATCAAACACTCTTAGATCGATGGAGATTTTTTTAAAAAAAACTTTGGGGGTTTCCCCTTCTTCCCTCTATTTGCTTTGCAAGTAAAACAGGAGGGGAATTAAGAATCAGCGAGAAATAGAAAGTATACGAAATGAAAACTGGGTTTGGGTGTTTCGATCTTTCTCCGTGGACAAAAAGGGTTTATAAATGAAAACGAACGAAGCAATGGGATGGCTGAATGATAGGCATAGCCAGCAACGCATACGAGCAGCTATGGGCTCCACACACACATACATACATACATACATATATTTTTATTACTTTATTTTATTTTAATTTATGTTATGTTTAATTTGTATTTTATAATAATTAATCTTATTTATAGAGATTTAGAAACGTTTTTTTTTATTATTGTTAATTATTATAATTATATTTGTATCATCCTAAAAAGAATAATGAACGCATTTATCGGTTATATAATCTATTCATTTACTCTATTATAAAACCTTAAGAAAATACTAAATACTATTTTTAAAATGATAACAAATTTATTTTTAATATTTTATTTTTCGTATTATTATAATAAAATATTTTCATTTAATTACTAATTTTTAAAAATTGAGTGACCTAATTGCATATTTATCATTTTCGGGGTAAGGCTCCTGGCCCGGCGCCGTCCTGGATCCAGGTGAAGAGATAGGTGTAGCAAAATCCTTGAATGCAAACGTACACGTGTACATCCATGTGAACATGCAAGTGGCAGATATTGTGTGGATTCGTAATTAATATTATTGGTGATATTAGTATATAATACACACACGTGCCCGTCTTCCTAAAATCTAGACAGGTAAATTATCAATTACTCGTTGCTTTCGTATAACAGAAGATACTGTTTAAATCATAAATTCGATCTCTTGATTTTATTTAGTTGATAAATAAAATTGATTTAAAAAAGAAAATTATTATCTCTTCTTTGAAATAAATAAAGCAAATGGCAAAAAGGTTAGAGACTGGTTGAGCCACAAATTTCAGTGCCACGTATACACGTGTAAGGTAGGTATTCTTTGTTTTTTGATAAATCACATTAATTCAATGCTCTCAATATTTTTTTTACTTTTAATCCAATTAAATAATAAATACGTCAACAGATTGCTTTTTATTTTATTTTATCCATTTTGTGAAAATTACAACAAAAAAACTTTTTTTATACAACCGATGACTGTTGTGTTGACTCTAAAACGGAAAAATTGTGCTCAAGCGCACATAGGGACGGGTACAAGGTAAGACGAGTCCAATTTTTGTCCCATGTATATATAAGCATTATAGTGATTATTCCAGACTGAGCAGGAGATTTTTTATTCTAAACTCTACACCAACTCCTTGCTTTACAAAACTCATCTCAAACATGAGTCTGAAAAAGAACTCCAATCTTATAAAGTCGGGTCAAAACCGTCGGGTATTTTGGCCCTCCGTAAGCGCACATGATATAGAGTCAGAGACGCTATGCAGAAAGGTTAAGGAGCATTAGCCTCATCAAGAACAATGCAAAGAATGGTGGACCAACTAAGGGTTCTTCAATAACTTTTCATGACACCCACTAAAGCTAATCCTTCTCTGGGAAACTCTCTTTTCTTACAATCAACCTCTGCTCAGAAACTCGAAAACGCGTCTAAGATCAAATGGTTCCATGTTGTATCTCACTCCGTGTTCAACATGATTCTAAATTATACAAATAAGAAAAGCATTTAAGCAGCAGCTCGACTCGACAGGCAGGACATACATATGGCTCAATAATATATTAAAAAGAGTGAAACTAGGAGCAACATTTGACAAGCAATTTTCTAACTAATAATAAACATAAAATGGAAATCATTCCCGGCCATTGTCTGCAACGATGAAGTGTTACGATCTTACTCGACTTGCGCTTGTCTTTAAAGGCATAGCTCAGTTGTGCTATGACGAGCAGTACAAGTCGGCTAATATACGAAATACGAATGAATTAAACGTGATCATCTAGCACCAGAGGAAGAAGTTTCCTGCAGCAATCGAGTAGGAATGAACATAAGAATTGTCTGCGTAAAAAAATGCATGTTAACATAATGTTGTCAATTACCTCAATCTGCTCATGGCTCAACACAATTTCAGCCAACTGAATGTTTCCACTAAGCCTAGTTGCCTTATCGGATGGCAATAACGAAAAACCATCGAGAAGTTTCACACACTTGAGTCCCCATTTGACCATTAGGAACTCAATAAGATGATGACCCGCTGCACATTATCGGTCAGTATAAACAAATAAAGAACTTGATTTTGGAGAACAAGACAACAGTCCCCATCATAATTTCAGTATTGAATCCAAGATGCTCTGGACAAAAACATATCAGAATCCAAACGAGACAGAATAGGAGAAATAGTACCTTCGATTATGATAAGTTGTTATGAAAACCGAGCCTGGATTACTTTGGAGCAGAAATGTCACAGTAGCAAAGAGATCATCAAAGGCTTACCGACACAAGTCGGTTATTGTTTTGTTTCAGCATCGGTTAATTGATTCCCAAAAGAAAAGGCAAAATAACTAGCATATCGTAAATCGATTTTACCTCGTGCATCATAAAGAACATCAGCCCCAAGAATAATTTTCGGGTGTAAACTAAATATGGATGCATCCCAAACTCCCCAAGTCAGTCCTAATACCTAGAAACAAAACTTAAATCCATAAAAACTGATTCGTCAGGTTGATCAAGTAACAGAGTATCCAAGCAATCAACATAAAAACATTTTTATGGAAGAAACTCACTTCACACTTCAGTTTGTTTAGGTCACAAACTGTTCTCATGTTTTCCAGCACCTGAATTTATATCAAACAAAACATGTACATTCAAAAATATTAGTTGCAGTAATAAATAATCAGTTTAAGCAAAAGCAAAACTTAGTCCGATCAAAGGATATAATCAAACAATAATCTCCACCAAAGTATTTAGTTTTGGATAAAATCGTCAAATTTCAACTCAAAGAGACTACATCAATACTACCTCCAATCTATTTGCATCGTCGGTAAGGGTGACATTGGAGCCAACTTTGGCAGCTATCAATCCAGGTAAGCAAGTTCCCGCACCAAGCTGCAGAAGAAACAAATATCAAAATTCGAGAGACAGTCACCAAAGCTAAAATTTGAATTTATTATGAGGAATACCTCGACTACATCGTTCCCGGAAAAGCGCGATCTCTGTTGCCAAACATACTCGGCCAATACGATGCTACAAGGCCAAACGAATAAGCCATAGTCTTCTTTCATGTTCTGAACATTGTAGAAATGAAAATTACACCCAAATCCTTAAAGCTTCTACCCTTTCCCCTTTCAGAGTGTTTTGTGAAATAAAAATAATAATACCTCAACAATCGATATGGAGAAGGCGGTTTTCTCAGAGTCGCCGAAAAAATGACGACTTATCGTCGTCATTTATTGATAGGTCACCGTAAAAATAATAATTCCTTTTTTTTGGGTCGATCAACTTGTTGACTCAAGGAGAAAGAAGTGAAAGTAAAACTCCAATTTTGATTTAATAAGGGTTTGATATGTCTGCAAATATTAACACCGGTAATTAAAATACCTCCGCTGCGGTGACAGCTGTGAATCACTCACCGTAACCAATCATTCTTCCACGAAGCATTCTTCGGGCTCAAATTGTCCGAGAAGAACCGGTGCCGATCGTTGTTATTCCTTTATCGTCCTCGTCGACCGCTACGATTCAGCCACTTCCCAGCAGTTTGAAGAGGAAGGCACGGAGATTGTAAATGCTGGTCCCAATATCAGTGCCGATATGAAACCGGTTTAGAACAAACCTTCCAACCGCTTCTGGGTCTGATATATGGAAGCCAGCATTTGGCCCATTATCTGGATCACTGTGGCTCTTTAAACAAATCTCAAATAATTTAAGTTGTGATGTTAAATAAAAGTTAAATTACATGTATATCAGAATGAAAAATTAAATATTAAAATAATATTCATTATATGTTATATATTGAAATTGATATTTTTAAAATTAAACTTATAAAATTTAAAAGATTAAACTTGTTATTTAATATTTTTATGAATAATTACTCTAATTAGTATTTTTAAATATTTTAACCATATTTTTATTAAAATTTGTGTTTTTAAATATAAATTGTGAATTGTCTAACGATCAATATTTGTCTTCGATATAATACATATCATGCCAATATTTTTATTGATGGGATGTTCACTGGGTGAATCAAGTTTTCCCGCCGTCGAATGCAACACTCATTCTAAACTGTTCGATCGCTCCTGTGGATAAGGATACCTTGGTCTGGGGAGGCCACTCGACGAGTGTCTACTCTGTCCACTACGGTTATAGTTTTCTTATGCGGCCTTCTCATCCGGTAGTCAACTCTGCCCTTGTTTCGTTGTTGTTATCGCGGCTTCCACTCCCTCCAAAAGTTCGAATTTTCGATTGGAGAGTGGCACATGAAGCCTTGCCGACAAGTCATCGTCTCGCCTTAGCTCAGGTTGCAGACGGTCATTGTTGTGTCTGTGGCGCAGCTTCTGAAACTGTCCTCCGTGCATTAAGAGATTGCATCGATGCTTTATCCATTCTGTGAGCCATGGGGTTTACTTCTGCCTCATTCTTCGCACCTCAGTCATTGGCAGGTTCTCGGTTACAAACTCTACTACATGATTTGTCCCAACCACAGTTTTTGCTCCTACTTATTTTACTTTGGAACATCTGGCACCGTTGTTGTCTCACCATGAGAGTCGACCACTTACAACATGACAGGTGATCCACTCCAGTACAACTCTTATTTCTGCATATTCCACTACGGTTGGACCTTCATCACTGTCCTCGTTTGCATAAGCACAAGTTATGCATATATATTATTTTTATTAAAAATAATGTAAGTGTTATAGACATACACATATATAAGAAGTTTCTATTAAAAAAATGACGCATTACATTAAAAATTATTACTTTTTAGTATCAAAATCCCCTAATATATACTCATTACGAATTGAATAATATGATTGAAAATATAAATCTTATGTTAGACGTCACTAAATCCTATATGAGTTAATTTTTAATAAAAAAATAATAATATTCATAATTTTTAATGTAATTTAATTTATTATAATATTCGTGTAGGTCTATCTTTTCGGTAAACTATCTAATATCTAAACTCTTAATTGAAACAATAATAATAAGCAATTTGGAAACAGGATTAAAAAAGGCCAATAAATTAATGAATATGCTTACATGGCATGCTTTGATTGGAGCATAGCCTATTTACCTGAAAAATAAATACTAGTAGTTCAGTGAAGTAGATAATTAAATCTTACAGCTAAAACGAAATGGAAAACCACTTCTAAATGAAAGCGGTAAAATTATCCAAAAACAACCTTGGTTTTCAATGGCAGTATTGTAAAAAACCCAATATTTAAGCAAAGCAGCTTTGGAGAAAACGAAATTTAAAAGAAAGAGAGAAGCAGAGTTTTATACCGCTCTTCTTCTTCTTCATTTATTTTTGTAATCTTGTGTTTCTTTTCCGATCAAATCTCTATTTTTTTGTGTGGAAAAATCACAAAATTTACATTTGCATTAGATTGTGTCGGAGGATCTAGATGCTGTTGGCTCTGTCTAGAACCATCTAACCCCCCATGTGCCTAATTACCTCATGACATGTCTGACACACTACACTATACGAGTTGGTCAGCTTGCGCACCTGGTGGCCCACTTCCTCACCAGGTGGTGCCTTCAAACATTTGACTTGTACACAATCCATCTTTTGGATGGCTTGGCCACTCACCCTAGGTGTGTACCATATGGCCCTAGATGTCTTGTCTCGTATTGGCTGTTGCGCATTGGCTCTGAAAATAGAGTTATTGTAGTATAAGCATGGAAAATTTCAGATAATTTTTCACCTTAAACTTTGAGTCTAATTTTTCACCATAAACCTTATCCGACTTTATCCTAGAAAAATATGACATGAATTTAATTTTTTTAAAAAAATCAACCTTATAATATCAAGTCCGAACCTATCATATTCCATGAGGATAATTTTGGCATAGAATAGAAAAAGGGAATTCTAATACATCACTGTTGATGAAACACTTCAGAATCATTAAGCACAAGAAAAACACGCAAAAACACTTTTACAAGGATCAAAAAGAATGTTACATGTATCAATAGTAAGACTTATTCGTTCTTTTGGTGTCCCTCGTTAAGTAAAACCAGGCATCCACCCAATCTAATACTACGTAGAGGCAATTGCAAAAATATTATTCATCATTAGAACACTGCATTTCCGCATCAAACATCCTCGTATAGCATCATTGACACATACGACCGTTCGTGGGGTTAGGGAAGTTGACAAAGAGGATAAGTTAAGAGAACAGGGCAGGGAAATTTAGTTTACCAAATGCCTTTTATTATAAGCAGGCAGGCAGCCAATCTCACAACGAAACCAAAAAGCTTTGAAACTTTAATGCTTTAGCAGCCAAATTGTCCCATGCATTAGGTCATTCTTAAGTGTAAAACAGCACTCAATGAAATTAGCCAATAGGCATTATCAGAAGTGGTTTCGGAATGTTCTCCGATAGATTTTCCGAACAGACTAAATTAATTGCTCACAATATCCAGGCTTCACCACTAATCAACCTGTTCTCATTATGATGTGAACCCCACTGTCGGTATCCACAATGTCACTTATCTCACCAACCTTGAGATTATATGTTGCATCCTCGAACGGCTTTTGCATCTGGCCTCGACCAAAAGGACCTGCACCAATAAGTTGTATAAGATTTTGGTTTGGATTATGGCTTTGTAATGCTGATACAAACTAATGAAAGGTCACAGATAGTTAACGATAAGAACTGAATGGCACATTCCTTGCAGGATGCTGATACATATTAACAAAAGGTCACGGATAATAACAATAAGAACCGAGTTGCACATTCCTTGCACGATATAGACAGAAAATTACACTAGTATATTAATGTTTCAATAGATCGGCAGTATTCAATGTCTATGATGACATAAAATATACTGCATGAACACATTTGTACAATTTGCTAGAATTGAATGATAAGCTAACTTTCATTGTGGAAGAACTGGAATGCCTTGTAACCTTGGGATCAATTCATGTAGTCAAAACTCAATCAAGAACAGGAACAAAGAAGAGTTATTGAGAAAACTAAAAGTATCCATTTCAAACATGTATAAAAGTCTATTTTTATCTTTCTTTTCCATAATCTCAGGAAAGGAATTTAACCTTGTAAGACATTAGTCGAAATATTACTACCATGAGGAAGGATATAATATCAGATAAAAGACAAAAAAAGGTCAGATGTAAAGGGCTGTCATTAACATATTGGATATCTCTTAAGCCAATGAGTAACCATTACATCTCTAATTGCAGGGGATCCCAAAATTCTAATATCTTAACGCTTGAAACCCTAATTTCAACAACAAAGTGTTCGAAACGCTAGCGGTAACCAAAGTGTCCCGTTAAACAAACCTATAACTATATGACTCAATTAAAGACTAACGTCTCAACATCTGTATTAACTCCAAGCATCTTTTTTGCCCTCCAATAATTCAGCTTCCCACAAGTTTCTAAGCAACCAAACAGCAAATAGAAACTATATAGTTCCAAATCCGAGCCTCTATTTACATATCTAAAACTAAATCAACAACGGAAGCTTAAAGCTTTTGCACCGCAATGAAAGGCAACGGACTAACCGAGATCACCGCCGCGTTTAGCGGAGCTGCAATCGGAGTAGCGTGTGGCAACCTCATCGAACTTCGCCTTGCCGGAAACGATATCGTCACGGAGGAGCCTGAGCTGCGAGACGGCGGAGTCTCTGGTCGTGGCGGAGATTAAGCGACCTTCTGGATCCTTCCACGAAGCCTTGCGGCGAGAACCTTGGTGTTTGATGAGTATGTGAGATGCCCTCACTTGATTGGCCGCCGTAGACGATGACATCTTCCTGTTTCTTCTTCAACTAACGATTTCTTTTCTCCAACCGAATACTCTGTTTTCGCAGTTTTTAAGTGACTGAAACACAAAAGAGGAAAAAATTAGTTACCTGCAGAATTTGTAAAGTTAGCCGGATATTATCTTCTAACGTGTCGTTCTCTCATCGCTTACAAAAACAATTAATTATGTCCAAAGTTTTAGGGGTAAATTGCAAAATTTTATCATTCAACTTTTCTCTCACTACTAATCCCAAAAAAAAAACTTTTCTCTCACTATTATTTTAACTCACCAAGATTTTAAATTTAATCGTTGCATTTTAGACATTAGATTTTAGGTAAAATCAACGGGATAATACGTTGAATTTTTTTTTCACGAGATAGTACCCTCGCCCGATTAATTACTCAGATGGGGTGATCTTTACAGTCCCCATATAGGTCGCCAGGTGCTCCGGGCGACGTCCCTGTTAGATGGGATAGGTCGCCATGCACGCCCAGTGACCTACCAGGTCGCCATGCACGCCCAGTGACCTACCAGGTCGCCATGCACGCCCAACGACCTACCAGGTCGCCATGCAATCCATGCATCCCCAAAGGTCGCCATGCGGTCCATGCTAAGAGTCTTCTCAAGTTGCTGCCTCATCACTCCTTTGGCAAATGCCTGAACAATGTTGATGGTTTAGACATGGCCCTTTCCTTCTATCATGAGTGTGTAAATGATCTCAAAAACCCAAAGTGGTGGGACCATTTACATTGCGCCATGTCTCATTACAAATTCGTCCTCGCAATTGAAAATACTGTTACAGAGAGCTATGTGATCGAAAAGCAATTTTACGCTCTGGACTCTGGTGCAGTACCTATCTATTTTACAGCAAAATGAGTGTTGGACTGCATGGCGACCTTTGGGGACTGCATGGACTGCATGGCGACCTATCCCGTCTCACAGGGACGTCGTCCGGAGCACCTGGCGACATATATGGAGACTGTAGATATCACCCCATCTGAGCAATTAATATGGCGAGGACACTATCTCGTGAAAAAAAAGATTCAGCGCATTATCTCGTTGATTTGGCCTTAGATTTTATATTATTCCATCAATATATAATTAGTAAAATTACAATATGATATAATATAATATATGATATGATATTAAAATGATATTGTATTAAAAAAATAAAATTTATTTTAAGATGATATTATTTTAAACTCCTATAAACTCATCAATTGGAACGATTGCAACTTAAGTAGTGGTCCAGTAATTTTAAAGGACAGACAAGGTGGTGGCAGCATAGATGTTCTCGTTGGAACGATTTGTGCAGTCAGCGAATGGATGTATGAGTTTATTTTAGAGACGGATTTATAAAATTTTAAGTATGAATGGATTTATAAAATTTTAAGAGTTGAAAATATATTTTTAATATAAAATATATAAGAATTTAAAAAACTTTTGGGGAGCAACCATCCCACCCACCCTCTCTAAGTCGATTCCTGTGCAGCCCCTTCCTTGTTAACATGGATCAATTTCAAATTAACCAACGTTACACACTATATACATCGTTTTCTCTTTTATCTAATTTTTTCTTCATATTTTTATCGATGTAATTATTGAAAATTTTAAATTAAACTTGGATAAAAACGATGTTAGTAATACAAAAATCTTATATTAAGTGCACAAAATTACTGTAAAAGTTCAAATATAATTTTACTTTCATCCTACACTGAAGAATGGAGTTGAGGTCTAACACAAGTGTGTTGTTATCGTCGTTCATTCTGATTCATGTAATCGTGTTAATGTTTGTATTTTTCTTGAGGATATATTATCAAAAAATATAAAATAGCTTTGGTTTATTTTCTCTAATTTATAAACACACAAAAAATAATTTTTCTCTATATTCTCTACATGTGTCTTCTTTCTTGTGAATTGAGTGTTGTGAAAATATTTGTCGACTAAATATCTTATTTTGAGAAACTAATATCGATTGTTTTTCATTTTATTATTTTAATTGTATGATTATTGAAGAATTTTATTAATTTTAAAATTGATTTTAATTTATGATTACACCGATCAAAATAAATTTACTTATTTTTTTAGGATAAACAAATTCTCCAAGGTGGAGATTTGTTAGGTATGGCTCATAAATATAACAGTAAAGAGGACAGGAGATGGAGCGGAGTGAACGAAGCGAACGCAACAACAAAGGTCTCATAAATAATTAATCTTACCCTGTTTGATCAAAACTTGCAAAATCAATTAATTATTAGAAAAGATAAAATAATAATGCAGGTTTTGAAGCAACGACAAAGAGGTTAACGAGAGTTGGACCAACCATGTAATAAAATATTAATGCATTGTTTTCTATAAAATTGAAAAGTTGATATGTTATCATTTTCTAATATATGATATTTTACCATTTATAATTATTTTATTTTGCCTGATTTAGACGTCACATCTTATAATTCAGAACTTCTAATAAAATTTGAAATATTATATGAAATAAATAATATATATAAGAGATCATTAAATAATATATATAAGGGATCATTAAATCATTTTAAAATGATTGTTTTGATCACTAACTTTTAAAATAATTATTAAATTTATTGAATTAATACAAATTAGTCATTAACCTTTGAATAATTAAAAAATAATTTAAAAGGTTATAACGATATAATTTGAAAAATTAAAGATTTAAAATGGTAGTGTGAAATAATTTTGAGAATTAAAAATGAAAAACTTAATCTATAATAAAAAAGAATAGGGAATCCAGTTATCAAATACTCAATAAGTCGGCCTGTGGGCCAACTTGTATGTTGGATCGATGGATTAACTGATCAACATATAAAGTGTATCAAATCAGGGGTAATTCTGAACACTTTGTAAATGAGATATTATAAATAAAAAATTTATAAATTTAATGATCATTTTGTAATATTTAAATAAATTTTAATAAATATTTTATAAAAATTAAAAAAATTAAAAATCAAAATAATTATTTTAGTATAATTAAATTATCTATTATATATTTTACATATAAAACGAAACCTATATGCTCATACCAATCTAATATTCTTTTAACCAAATCGGGTCCCCACAAACCAACCAACTAATTACCAGCGTTTGGCAGCCATATTTTATTAGTAATTGTTTCAAGGAATTGCTCTGAAGGGAGGGCTTTTGAATCTTGGCCGTTTTTCTATTGATCATTTCCATCTTGCAAAACGAACGGGCCCACCCAAGTGCGGTAACACGATGCTTTTCATGGACCTAACTACACCATCGTACTCCACTTTTGGAGGTGCGGAGAACTAGCCCATAACACGCTCCCACATGTCAAATGGGACCACAGATCCGCCAAAAAGGTCAATACGCCGTCGTCTTTTGTGCTCATTTCTGGGAGTTTTAAAATGTAGCCAACCCCGCTTCTCTCTCCGTCCTGTCTCTGTTGGGTTCTTTCTCTCTTCACTATGTGAATAGAACGAAAACAAAATATAAAAACTTCTCTCGGGAATGATTCTTTAACTATTCAAATCAAATTCCATCTCAGTGATCGCCGGTAATCTGCGTTCCTTTCCGGTAAGTTTAATTTTGTGAAAAAATGTTTTCATGGTTTCTTTCTATTTAAATATCAGTTTAATCTTCGTTCTTTCTTTTTTAGGATATTGATTTTTGAAATGGACCAACGAGGATGGCCATGGAAGAAGAAATCTTCCGAGAAAGTTGGAACTGAAAAGCAGGTAGTTGTATCGGATGGAACCGGTGTTTCTTTGTCTTCCTTAGCATCTCTCGGAGAGCAGGTCTTTTTTTAAAAAAAATATTTACTAAAAAAGCCGTTAAATGAAACCGTTTATGAAACTTGCTCCTGATTGTGTGGATATTTCTCTCTCTCTTTTTTGCCGTTTATTGATAGGAAAAATGTAAGAAGGTAAATTATGTTCAAATATCCATGGAGTCATACGTACATTTGAGTGGGTTAGAGGATGACGTTAACAAGTTAAAGGATGAAGTCAAATCATGTGAGGATGAAGTAAAGGGTTTGAAAGGGAAACTATCGGAAGCTCATTCAGAGATTAAATCTAAGGATGCTTTGATTAGCCAACATGCTAAAGTTGCTGAGGAAGCTGTTTCAGGTATGTGTTGGAAAAATTAATGCTCACTTGAAATTCTACCGTTGAGAGTGATGATTTGAAAGCTTTTATGTACATTTTTTTAGGATGGGAAAAGGCAGATGCCGAAGCTATTGAGTTGAAACGGCATCTCGAAAATCTTACTCTCTTGAAGCTTTCGGTAGAGGATCGGGCTGCGCATTTAGATGGTGCGCTTAAGGAGTGTATGAGAGAGGTCAGGAGTGTGAAAGAGGAGAGCGAGCAGAAATTGCAGGATGTGGTTCTAGCCAAAACTATACATTTTGACAGAATAAAGCTTGGTTTGGAAGCGAAAATAGCTGAATTAGATGAAGGGCTTTTGAGAGCAGCTGCTGAAAACCAAGCGCTTTCGAGGTCATTGCATGAGCGGTCGAATTTGATAGTTCAGATTGAGGTAGAAAAATCTAAAGTGGAAGCTGAAATAGAACTTATGAAGACGAACCTTGTGTCACGTGAGAGGGAAATAAACTCACTCAAGTACGAGCTGCGTATGGTTTCTAAGGAGCTTGAAATTCGCAATGAAGAAAAGAGAATGAGTATGAGATCTGCAGAGGCAGCAAACAAGCAACATTTAGCAAGTGTCAGCAAAATTGCTAAACTGGAGGCAGAATGTCAAAGACTACGCGGCCTAGTTCGTAAGAGATTGCCAGGGCCAGCTGCATTGGCCCAAATGAAGCAAGAAATGGATAATTTTGGTAGAGATTTTGGTGGACCTCAACTTAAAAGGAATGTAGTTAAGAATCCTAACCCGAATTTGCCTCCACAGATGGAATCATCCGCTGGCAGCTTGCTGCAATCCCAAAAAGAGATTGATTATCTTACTATGCGGTTGTTGGAGATGGAGGAGGAAACAAAGATGCTTAAAGAATCTTTGGCCAGTCGCAATAGTGAACTGCAGGCTGCCAGAGAGACGTGTGCTAAGACAAATCTCAGGGTTAAGAGCTTAGAAGCACAAGTACAGGCCCTTGATCATCGAACAAGCTCCCCAAAGTCGAGCATTGGGCACCCTGCTGGCGATCTTTCTAGTCAATATGCTAGCAATGCACCTAGTATCATTTCCATGTATGAAGATGGGATTGATGTCGAAGAACATTCGACGAAATCTTTTCTACCAGCAACCTCCGGTATCTCTCATCTGGTAATGGAGCAGAGTAGTCATAAAATTCATAAGCAAGAGAACTCCAATTGCTTGGAATTGATGGATGACTTTCTAGAGATGGAGAAGTTGGCACGTCTGTCAAATGATGTTGGTGGAGCTAATGCTGTTTCTAGCGATCCAGTTAATTCTGATCAAGAGTTTGGTTTTAGTCCATCATCAAAGCTGGAATCTTCAATTGCAAGATCCTCAACAACGGGGCTTCAGCAGGATGTGGAAAATTCGCCCTTCCAAAAGCTTCAGTCAATGGTTTTTACAATTTTTGAATCTAAAACTAAGGAGAAGAATTTGGGAAAGGTCTTGGAGGATATCAAAGGTGCTATTCTGGAAGTACAAGGTTCTCTGTCTCAGCACCCAGTCACCTATATATGTGAAGGAGTTCAATTGGGTCATGGTCCTTCCGATCGAAAGGATGTATTTGAAGAAAGATTGATTTTCTTAGATGGAGATGAAGTTACAAAGCAAAATTTAGCATCTGCGATATCTCAGATTCATCAGGTTGTACTATCAGTAGGTAGAAAAACAATGAGAGTTCAGGACCCTCGTACCGATGGCCATGCGCTATGTAAAAGATTAGATGACTTCTCTGTCTTTGTGGATAAGTTTGTATTCGACAATAAGGGTTTGGTTGACTTCATCTTAAAGCTTTCTTATGTTTTAGCTGAAGTAGATCGACAGAACCTTGGTTTCCTGGGATTTAGGGATTATAATAGAAATGCCAGCGAAAATGATTGCGTAGACAAGGTTGCTTTGCTAGAGAATAAGGTTGTACAAGATAGCCCATCAAAACATGCATGTGCTGGAGGGTGCCATCTTTGTCATTCCTGTTCGGACTCGGATGTGCTTCATAATGAAATCTTGGATCCAAGTTTTCAACCCAATGTTCCATCATGCTCATGCTTATTCAAAGAGTTGGAACAACTGAAATTGGATAAAGAAAAAATGACAGTGGATCTTACAAGATGCACTGAAGATCTTGATAATGCAAAGTTGCTGCTTCAGGAGACAGAGAATAGGGTAACTGAACTGAAGTTACAGTTGGCTTCCTCTCAAAATCTCCACAGCCTCGCCGAAACTCAGCTGAAATGTATGACTGAGTCTTACAAGTCACTAGAAGCGCGTGCACAGGAGTTGGAAGCTGAGATAAACCTTTTACAAGAAAAATCAGCGAAGTTAGATGATAAACTACAAGAAGAAAAGCGTGGCCATCAAGATGCCCTGGCTAGATGCAAGGATCTCGAGGACAAAGTTCAGAGGTAAGCAATTAACTATTATAATGCTTTTGAGTTTTGATGATACTGTGAGCAGATATGATCTCTAATAGGAAATCACTTGACCTTATAAGGAAAAGGGAATTTATCGAATCAATGAACTAAAGAACATTCCAAAATGATAAACCACTATTTGTTAGTTACCGGTTAATTTGATTTTGCACTGGAAACTCCACCAGTTAGTTCATTCTATGTTATATTACATGAATCACCATATTTTGTAGCATTTTGTCTTTTAACTTTCTGTAAATTCTCTTGTGTTGATAAAGGAATGCAACCTCCTTTCTATGTCCGTCATCAACGATAGAAGATTCTGAGATGAAGATCAACCAGGTATGCAGCTATTAACCGAGAAAATGTGGAAACCTATAATCAACTGATGACCTTTCAGATATGCTGTTATAAGAGCCTCGAGGGTGATAGAATGTTTGTTACATGCTATCTCTGGCAGTTACTCTACATGCACTTATGTTGTATAGAATGTTTGTTATCCTTCTTTAGGGGTGATTGCACTTTGTTGCACTTATGTTGTATAGAATGTTATCCTTCTCTAGGGGTGATTGCACTTTTTTGCTTGACCTATTGTTTTGTTCTTCATCGAATAAAAGGCCGGAGGCTTGTGAATTAATCAGAGTATTCCTTCCTTATTTGGTGATTTCGGAATTAGTTAGCTCGAAAGCTTTAGCTGAAAGTGTCGTCCTGTCATTCTCTTGGCAGGAAAGAGATATAAAAGATGCAGCACAAAAGCTCGCAGCATGCCAGGAGACAATTTACCTTCTCGGGAGGCAGTTGCAGTCTTTGCACACTCAAAGTGACGAGCTGTTGGGTGAAAGTTCAGTAGAAGGCAGAATAAATCGTAGCTGTTCAAAGGCACAGGATATTTGCTGTACCGATGACCTTGAACACATTGAGACGGACATCATAGCTTCTGCAGATGTGCAATCCGTTAGTGATGATTCCTTGCATTACGGTCATTCCACATCAAGTCCCCTGGATAATGACACCAATCTTTCACCGAGGTCTCTAGTGGGCTTGTCTCACCTCAATCATACCCGTACGAAGTCTACATTCTCTGCTTCTACTCTTGAGCAAGAGAAACACTCACTTAGTTTTGGTCGTCTCTTTTCCTTGAAAGGGAAGAACGAGTAGTTGAATTGTGTTGTCTAGCTTTGTATAGATTTCCAGATTAATGGGCATAGCAATCGGCTAGCCCCATCTGTCCTAGATAATATTTCCTTCTCTTTTTTGCTGGGATTGTAATTGAGTTCTAATCGGAACTCGAACATTCTAGAAATCATAGTTATGTAGAAATTAAATGGCAGATCATATGCCCATATTAAGTATTAACCAACTGCAGTTCACTCCAAAATGTAAATAAGACCCGCAGTCATAAATCTGAACCGACATGTCTGAACTACGACATGTTTTCATATTTTCATTATCTTTCTTCAATCCCTTAACCAATCACATCAAGGAATTTTTTTTACAATAGAATAGAAAGTTGCATGACTTTTTCATTTCTCAGGTTGGTAACAAGTTAACATACTATTTGCCTACAATCAGTACTCTTAAAAGGGAATAATTCATAACTCGATCTGGAAATAAGGTTGTTAAGGCTAATATCCACATCTTTAAATCTTCTTCACAGTTCACTTTGTCATCCCTAATATAAACTCGATGAGTGAACTTCGATACTAACCTACCAGAATCATATACATTCGTAACTGGAGGCCGGTTTCAGTGGTTGAAGCATCCCATCAGTCACACTCAACTCTCTTCTCAGCTTAACAATGTGGGCTTGCACCTAAGAATATCATGTAGTATAAACAGTCAGAAGATATCAGTCATTTGCCCAAAAGTTCATGAAAAATGAAATAGCAACATCGAACAACTAAATTAGACATGCGTAATTACATGTAAAAAGCCTGTAAGTCAGGCTGAAAGCTCATGGAGCAGACCCACTATCATGGCCAAGAGTGTAACTCAACAATTCATAAGAACATGGTGTTAAACAATGCTTACCTGTACATTTGGCTAGACTTCTGTATAAGCATATGGTATCCTATTCATAACTAACAGTAAACAGCTAGTATATATACCGGAACACTTCACAATGGCATGACCAAGTTAATTGCAAACACGAAAAGTCATTGAGCTATTCTAACCTGCTGACGAGCTGAGGCAAGTTTCAACAATTCATCTGCCTCTGAGAAATTCATAAACCACTGACTGAGTGGATGATCCTTGGTATCACCCCTTCCCCTGTCATTCATATTTTCAACTGGTGCTGCAGATAAAAGTGAACTGATCTTAAATAAAAGATTTGACGAACATGAGTTGGAATAGAAGGCAAAACAAGTAAATTTACCCGGAGCAGGCAAGCTAAACCCAGCAGGCAGTCGTGGCACGTGAATAGCCGGATGATTTTGCACACGAGCAAAGAAGCACTCAGAAGGCTCTGGAAAAACAATCTCATTGTATGATTCCATAACAACAGGTTTCTTGGTAGACTGTGGGCCAGATTCATCTTCAGGATATAACTTCAAGAAGTGAAACCTACAAATATCGAGCCTAGTTAGTAAACAAAGAACCACATTAAGTACGCAACCGAACAAATGACTCACAAATCCAATTTCTTGTCGCAAACATCACTGTGGAAGAAAAGGCTAATTCCAATTTCAAATTCACCCCAACCACATTCCGATAACTCGAAAGGTGGTGATTCAACGACCCTTGTAGGGTTATTGAAACTGGGATGCAGTTGAAACACAACATGCTTTATCACTGCTCCGAGATCTTCATTTGTCGCCCCACGCACATAAACAGTCCACTTATGTGACTGCGACCTAATTGAAGGAGACAAATCTATTCAAATATTATTCTATCACAATACAAGGGGAAATGTATATTATGGAAAAACATACTTACTCACTAGCCTTTCGACCAAGATAAAATGCGATAGTTCCATAAACAATTGGAACACAAAGCTCAACATCTTTAACTCTCCTGTTTGCACTCTATAAATGATCAGAACGAAACAAATAATGTCACTATAATGAAGAGATTTACAAGCGTTAAACAAAATTCAACATTTCCCTTTTCTTGTTTTCAGATGTTAAAGCAGAATTCTGCTTTATCTGTAATTAGAAATGGGAAATTTCAGTTCTTATAAACTTGAAATCCTTCACAAAAGAGACTTTTAAGTATTAAAAAACTTCTACAACGTCCCTAGTTTCACGCAAATGGATTAATCTTACTAAAAAATTGAGGAACACAGAAAAATCGAGACGATGTTTTAGTAAGAAATGCAGATAAATGACACCAAAAGCTATTGAAAAAGCTAAAAAAGAGAACCTTTTTGTCGCTGTCATCAGTAGTTTTGCCAAGTTTGATGATGCGCTGTGGCTTAGAAGCAGAACCACCATCCACAACTTGGGCTTCGGTAACCGTCTGAGGCATTTCAGCAGAGAGTTGAAGTGGGATCAAAACCAGAAGCCAAAACAAGGGTTTTCACTTTCAGTTCCCGTATCAGAATTTACGGACCCTTTTTGATCAATTTTGAGGGGAGAAATGGGGGTTTAGGCCCTTTAGTGGGGGGGAAATGGATGAAAAAGAAGCAATCGCGTGAGATTCCGAGGGGCATTTTCCATTTGTCTTTCTTGCCACGTCAGCTTCCATCTGGCCAAGAATAATATAAAATAATGTTTAAGATTGCCAAAATATTCAATAAATGTCTTTTTTCACAGATAAATATATTGTTTGAAGTATTAACTATTGGGGATTGCATTTGAATTGAGATTGAGGTTAATAATGGAATGGTAGGATTAGTTTTAATTAGAGATAGATATGGGTCAGGTTAGGTCGGGTTTTTTGATCCACCCGACTCGACCCGAGAACAATAACTCCTCCACCCAATATCGGATCCGACTTGCATGAAACAAGATTTCACCCGATTTGAACCTGACCCGACCCAAAATAATAATAAAAATATTATTTTTATTTAATAAAAATAGTGACTTAATTGAAAAAAATAATATAGAGAGATGTATTATTGTAATCATTCATAAATATATAAGGTAAAATTATATTTTTCAGGTGGGTAGAGTATTTTTCACCATAAACCCGAACCGAACATCATATTTTAAAAACTCGATCCGAACCTAATTTTTTTTAAAAACTCGACCCGATCAGATCGAAAACCGTCGGGTTCGGGTCCATGCCCATCCCTAGTTTTAATGATTCAAAGTAGAGATACAAATGAGTGACAGACACAATAAGACCCGATTGTCGGTGCTGAAAAACCAACCAAATGAGTGACAATTCATCCAACCACTTGAATGTGTATTTAATTTATTAATAGATTGATTTAAATTAAATATTATAAAAAATATTATACATGTGACAATATAAATTTAGTTTATTATATTTATAATGTAAATATTTAAAGTTATACTTTTACATAAAAGTTGATGAAAAACTAAAAATATATTTTCAGAAATAACTTTATTCTAGAGAAATTGTGCACGTTATTGAAACTCTCTAGGCGCACGTTAGCAGGCCTAATGGAGAGATTTTGTAAGTGAAATCTTCTCCGGTTAAGGTTAATATGGCTGGATCTAACCTATATGTTTTTTCTTTTGCTAATGCTACTATGAGGGATTGGGTGTTGGAAAGTAAACCATGGCATTTCCAGAATAAGCCTTTGGTTCTTTGAAAGTGGGAGCTAAACATGCAAAAGTTGGAGTTTGACTTTACGAGGATGCCTGTTTGGGTGCAATTGTTTCATGTACCTCTGGAACTTTACTCTAAGCGTGGATTGAGTTACGTCGCCAGTGCATTGGGTACACCGTTTTACCTGGATTCTATTACAGCTTCGAAGGAACGTTTGCAGTTTGCGAAGATGTGTGTTGAGATAGGAGCAGGGAATACAGTTCCTGAAGTAGTGCAGGTAGTCTTGAAGGATGATTCTTTAGTGTCAATTTTTGTAGTGGTTCCTTGGATGCCTTCTTGCTGCTCGCATTATAAGAGTTTTGGTCGTAGTGACAAGGTGTGTGTGGAGAAGCTGCAGAAGCAATAGAGGACTGAAGCTCGGGTTTGGAGGATGAAGAAGGCACTTGTTGTTGTCTCTCCTGTTGTGAAGGAGGGTGAAAGCTCTGGAGTTAATGAGAAGCAAATTGTTGAGGATGAGGATGTTTCTTTGGAGTGTTTGAATCCAGAAACTCCTATTGGTAATGTTGAGTAGATTGATAATGTAGTTAATGAAGAGGGAGTGGTTGTTGGTGCATTGATTGAAGAGATCCAAGGTAATGTGGATGTGTTGGTTGATGAATTGGGTGTTCATTATGATAAGATGGAGCAGATTATGGGTTTGCAGCAGGAGTCTGAGTGCAGTAAAGAGTTTTCAACTTTGAAAATGTCCATGTTGCAGAAGAGGATGTCTAAGAGTAAGCTAAGGACAAGAAGACTATTGGGGGTTTCTCAACCAAATTTGAAGCTTTAGGAGGTGTTATAGCAGTTGATGGTCCTAGGAAGACTCGTGCAGCTTCCATGGGAATTATTGTTCTGCTGAATGAGTTAAAGGCCAAGAAGAAAGATCACATTGATAACGTCAAGGTGGTAGCCAAGGTACTTACTAAGGTAGGCGGAGGTTTTGCTTCTTCTCTTTAATGATAGTTTGTTTTTAGAATACTATGGGGTTTAACAGTCTCCTAAAGCAAGTCAAAGTGATAAAAAGATTGAATAGTTGGAATGTGGATGTTTTATGTCATATGGAGTCTATAATCATAGTACATAATGTTGATGCTTTGGTTTCTAAGTTTTATGTTCATTGGAATTGTCGTTCTAATTATGCTTATGTTGATAATGGAAAGTTATGGATTTTTTTAAAAATGGGGGCTAAGTTTTGATATTATTAAGGAGTCTGATCAAGTTATTTTCATTTTAGGAACGGTTAGGGAATATAAGGTTGTTATCACTGCAGTTTATGGTAGTAACAGTGGACAGGATAGGAGATGTCTTTGGAGTCACCTTAGGGAGCTAAAGGTGGTTGTGGGTGATGTTGCGTGGAGGGGATTTTAATGTTGTTGCTTATGCAGAAGAGAGTTTTGATTTTGAAAGGGTGGGGCCTTATGTTACTTCAGACATGGGGGATTTTCTTAGCTGCTTAGAAGATTTAAGTCTTGTGGATCATCCTTTTTCAGGTCCTTTGTTCACTTGGTCCAATAGGCAAGATGATACGTTCCTGGCTCTAAAGTTGGATAGGGTGCTGATTAATTCTCATTAGTTCATTGTTTTCAAGCATCGTTTGTTATATTTAAAGCTCAAGGAGTATCTTATCACTGTCCTGCCTGGGTGTGGTTTTATAAAGAGGTTCAGGCTAATAAGCCTAAGCCTTCTAAATTCTTTAATTGTTAGACTGTGCATGTTAATTTTCAGGATATTGTCAGGGAATCATGGAAATAGGAGGCTTATGGGAATGCGATGCAGAGGTTGTTTGCAAGTTGAAAAGGCTTAAAGTAAAGCTGAAAGAGCTTAATAGGGATTATTATGCTGATATTTTAGTACGGGTTGTGGCTAGAAGGAAGGAACTGGAGTAATTAAAATTGTATAATCTCACTCATGTTACACAACGTAGATTGGAGGATGAGCGTTTGGTGCAAGCAGAGTTGATGGATTTGGAAGCTGTCGAACTTGATTTTTATAAACAAAGAGCCAAAGCTTATTGGTTGCAGGATGGTGACTTGAGTACTCAAATCTTCCACACGACTGTGGAAGGGAATAAGAAGAAGAATATGATTCGAATGATGAACAATGAAGATAGGGACAAGTTGGAGACCTTTGAGGATATATCTGCGGAGATGATTCGTTTCTATACAAATCTCATTGGGGCGACTGATTCTGTTGTTAAAGGTTGTTCTGTTGAGTGTCTCAAGGGGATGTGGAACTATTCGTTGCCTAGTGGGGCAGTAGAGGATTTGGGAAATGAGGTTTCGGATGTGGAAATTAAGGAGGCCTTATTTAGGCAAGGTAATGACAAGAGCCCAGGCCCTGATGGCTATACCGCTTTATTTTTTAAGGCGACTTGGGAGACTTTTAAGGAGGATTTCTTGGCGGTAGTAAAGTATTTCTTTGGTGAGTCATTTCTGTTGCCTGCGTTTAATGCTACGGCTATTGCCCTCGTACCGAAGGCTTTGAACTCTTGTATGGCAAAGGAGTTTAGACCAATCTCCTGTTTTTCAATAGTTTATAAAATGATTACTAGAATTCTTGTAAGTAAGATTGTTATTTACTTTTTTTATATGATCTCAGCAAGTCAGTCTGCTTTTTGTCAAAGACAGTTGCATCGTGGATAATACATTGCTTGCTCATGAGTTAGTGAGAGGTTATGCAAGGAAGTCTTTGCTCATGAGTTAGTGACCAAAAAGTTGTGTGAAAAATATTGCTTGCCTTTATTAGAGAAGATTATGGGAAAACTTGGAAAATGGTCTAATAGGAAACTTAGCTATGGTAAGAGGCTGCAATTGACCAAAGTTGTGTTGTTTAGTGTTTTCAATTATTAGAGTATGCATCTCATTCTTTCGAAGGCGGTGATTTTGCAGATTGAGAAACTATGTATGCGGTTTTTCTGGAAGAGCCAATATATTCCTACGAAAGGCGCACAAGTGAGTTGGTCTCAAGTCTACTCGCTGAAATCCGTTGGGTGTCTGGGCTTGAAGAGTTTGCTTGGCTGGAGTAAGGTGTGTAATCTGTTGTTGGTGAGGAATATTCTTGCTAATGAGGGATCCTTGTGTGTAGCTTGGGTGAGGAAGTATATGTTGAAAGGTGTTGATTTTTGGCAAGTGGAATATAAAGTTTATTTCAGTTGGATCCTCAAGAAATTGTTAAAGTTGAGAGGTAAGGCAAGGGCTTTGTTTGTTCCAGGTTTTAACTGGGCACAAGTTACCTGCAAATGGATTTGGGACAATACCAAAGTTTTAAAGGATAAGGTAAAGTGGCATAGGCTTATTTGGTTTTCTTCTCATGTTCCAAAGCATTTCATTTAACTTGGATGTCCATTTTAGATAGATTGCCCACAAAGGATAGATTAGCTCAATTTGGGATGGTCACATAAGGTGTGTGTTGTCTTTGTGGTTTTGCTATGTAATCGAAAAGTCATTTATTTTCTTAATGCTCCTTTTCCAAGAGAGCTTGGATGGCAATTTTGCGTGTTTGCAGGTTGCATTATAGAGAGCTGTTGAGCTGGAATGATAAACTCGTGTGGGCTATAGAAAATTTGAAGGGAGCTCGCTTCTGTTCGTATGCTAAAGTTGGTTTGGACAGGTTTTTTATATTACATTTGAGATGAGCGTAACTATCGATTGTTTCGAGTAGATAGTAATCATTCGATGAATGCATTGATTGATTGTATAAAGAAAATTGTTAGGATAAAATTGAGTAGGTGTTCCATTGATAGAAGTGATAGGGTTAAAATGTTTTTATGTGCTGAATGGGAAATTTTGTAGGGGTTTTTTTGTTTGTTGGTCAGGCTGAGTTGCTGGTTTGTGTTGTTCTGGAGTTGTAGCCTACTATGATAGGTTGTTATAGCAGTTTGGCTGCTTACTTTACTTTGGATAAAATATAAGCATAACCTACTTATCCAATAATAATAATAATTTTAATTTACTTTAATATATTTTTAATTAAATAAATAAGATAAATAACCATATTAATTGTGAATATATAAATATGAGATACAAACACTATTAAATTGTTTATGTATAAAAAAATGTAACAATAAATATAAATAGATTAAACTGTTTGCGAATAAAAAACTCAACATTTAATATATTAAATAATAAATCATTTTTTAAATACTAATTAAGCATAATAAAAATATACCAAATAATAATTAAAAATAAAACCTCCCAAACTCATGTGTTAATTGTACCCCAACCAAACCATTTTTTCTCGAAACAAAACTCCGTAACCCTATTTCACCGTGCTTTGTTCTCCTCCCATCACAACCTCTCCCTCGGGTTTTCAACTTTCACAGCCATCACCTTCTCGTGCCAGATTTCGACCATCTATCACCTCCGCCACCAGCACTTACGCTTCCAACCAAGATAAAAGTTCGACGGCCGGTTACCTGAGCCGTCCTGGAGAGGCAGCGTGTACGTAGCTATACTATACGAGGTTCTAGGGATCCCCTTTGGTATATTGAACTTAATTAAGACATTTAAGATTTATATTTTGTAATGAAAATATTTATATGTATCTAATTACGATGTATATACATTAAAAATTGTAATAAATTTAAAATGATGCACCGAAATAAATTGACATTTATACTTGTATCAAACGCAAATGATACATACCAATAAAGGTTGGTTCAAGTGGTAAGCAATTTGATATCGCTTAAACAAGGTATCGAGTTTTAATCCTTGTATATGTTCTACTAAAAACAAACAAACAATACATCTATCGATATATTATTGAGTATTAATGTAGTTTTAAAATTTATTGAGATTTAAGAATATTCAAACCAGGAAAAAAAGATAGAGACAAATTTTAATTTGACTAATTACAAAACTGATGGGGACCTAAAAGGAATTAGCCATAAAATTTAAGGGACCTAAAATTAATTTAACTAACTGTAAAACTGATGAGTACTTAAAAAGTTGTTGCCGGCCTGGCTCTCCGTTTGTGCGAATGGTTACTGCTTAGTCCGCAAACATGCCGTTGCTCTTAGCCCTCCAAAAGTCCAGTTCCAGTCTTTGTTTTGGTTTTGGGTCTTGCTTGCTGCCTGCTTCTTTTGTGATCGTTACATGCATAATTTTCAAAATAATTACACTATTTCCAACCTCTACTTTTCATTTGATTGGGTGTTACAAGAAAATACCACGAATTTATAAATTATTAATTATTAAAAATTATAATTTATACATATTTTTTATAGATCCGAACAAAAACGAGTGTCTACACAAGGGGTGAGCACGGTGAAGCTGTGAAGAGGCGATTAGAAGCTGCGAAGCTCACCTCTCTCTTAACGAACCATCTCTTATGAGGAGAATCCGAGGCATGTTGAACCGTCAATGGAGGGTAACGTTGAGGTTTATCCCTCGTGGAGAAAACAGATTGGCTGACAGCGTTGCCAAGCTCGGCCGTCGGGGACTTATGGCTACCACAACCTCCAATGGAAGTCCGAAGCATCCTCAACTTTGACCAAACAAAGTTGAGAAGAAGATATCCCCACTGATTCCAGTGGTCTTTCTATTGTCACACAAAAAAAAAATCCATCTCGATAGTCATTCGTACCCCATGACAAATAACACTGGCTTCAAGTAGTGCAGGTTCCCGATCACCATAAAACGGGACGAGCACGACCAACCATCTCACTATAGCGTGTAATAATCTCAACAGTTGCGAAATCAACTAATCTCGGACACATCCCCTCAGGAAGAAAGAAACAACCCATAATAAATAAAATATACTTTTTATTGAATAATAATAATTTTTTAACAATATATATTCAATTATTTATACGTCTTTTATTGTTTAAATTATTTGTGAAAAATAAATTATTGAATTCTATATTTTCTTGTAAATCATTTTCCATAAATAAACAAAGGATGGATTAGCACGATTAATGATGAGTAACACTAAATTAATTTATAAAATATTAAATTATAAAGTATTAAACATATTATTATAAATTAGTTAAAAATCTAAATATAGTTTAATTAAAATATAAATATTTATAAAATTTTTAGTTTTTAGGGTAAATTATACCATTGACCACATAATTATTTACCTCTTTTACTTTAACCATCGATTTTTTAATTTTGTCAATCGTGTCACCTAACTATTTAAATCTTGTCAATCAAGCCATCTGCTATTAAATATTAACATAGGAGATGACATGTCAGTTAATAAAATTTGTATAATTACACATTTAGTCTTTATTACTTACACATTCTATTAATTTGGTCCGACCTTTTATTTAATTCAATAAATTTAGTCCACAATCCAATGGTAACATGTGTCAATGGGTAATTGAGTATTTTTAATTTTTTTAATAAATTTTCATCCAATCGAATGGTGCCACGTGTCACCAATTGAATGAATGGAAAATAAATTAAATCAATAACCGTTGCTGGTGGAGTTTAAACTTGGGACGCAATCTGAAAAATCAAATGCCCTAACCACTAATCTTGACCACAAAATTTGTCTAGTATACATAACATAATCTATATAATTTATAATGTAGTTAATGGTACTAAATGACCTTATAAGGACTCAAAAATAAAATTATTGAATATTATGAAAATATAAAATATATATAAACAAATATTATAATTGATTAAAAAATGAATGAGTTTTATTTATATTTTAAATCACATTTAGTGCAAAAATTAAAATAAAAGTGAATTTAATATATTATAATTGAAATGTATCATTTTACATATTTTAAATTAATAAATTGTCTTCATTATTCTAATTTTATTGAACTGAAATGTATCATATCTTATATTTTAAAATATTATAATGTCGATCGAATTCTAATTTTATTTAACAACTCTATATTAAAATAGACTAATCCAATAAAATCAAGTTTCTCCTAAAATTTTCTTCAAATTTATAATGAATAAATAATAAAATATAAAATTTTTACTCTAACCGAGATATAAACAAGTCAATGCATAAGTTAGAATGCTTACTATGATAAGCCCTCAACTATCAGAAAAATTATAAGTCAACGAAGCTCTTCATTGTATTTCAATTATAATATATTAAAATTATTTTTTATTTTTATTTTTTCAATAAAATGATTTAAAATATAAATAAAATACATTAACATATTAATCAGTTATAATATTTGTGTATATATATATATATATATCATATTATCGTATTATCCAATTATTCCATATTAGAGTTCTTATTAGGTCATTTTTACTTTTTTATATCCATTAACTATATATATATTATGTTGTGATAGGTTTGTCATTTGAATGGTGCAACCCAGTTGTTGAGGCGTTTGCTTCCTCTCTTTACGTATTGGATTCAAACCCCACTAACAGTGGTTATTGATTCAATTTATTTCCTATTCATTCAATTGGTGACACGTGACACTATTTAATTGGATGGAAAATTTATTAAATTAAATAAAAATATTAAAAAACATCTAATCATATAGTGACACATGCCATCATTTGATTGATTATTAAATTTATTGAATTAATTAAAAGTTATGACCAAATTAATAGAATGTGTAAGTAATGAGGACTAAATGTGTAATTATACAAATTTTATTAATGGTCACGTCATATTCTCTGTTAATATTTAACAACATGTAGCTTGATTGACAATATTTAAATAGTTAGGTGACTCGATTGATGAGATTAAAAAATCGATAGTTAAAGTAAAAAAGAGTAAATAGTTAGGTAACTAATAATATAACTTACTCTAAAAACTAATATTTTATAAATATTATATTTTAATAAAATTATATTTATATTTTTAACTAATTAATAATTATAATTTAATACTTTATAATTAAATAGTTTATAATTTAATTTAATAATACTCATTTTAACTGTGATTATCAAACGTTGTAGAATTTTTTATAAACAAAACATTTTGGATGCATATAAAATGGAATTTTAAAGCTATTTCGCCGGAAGTTAATGTAAGAAAAAATAAATAAAAAATATATATAAACGCGTTTGACCTAGTAAAACACGTCCACCATGAATGATTCTTTTTCATCTTCATTATCATTCTCCTTTACCTTTATAACGCGTATACAGACTGAATCAAAGAGCACCCTAGACTAGATCCCCTTTGCCCCCCAAAAGCAGCAATTTACGCCGCAAAACTTCACTGAAACAATTACCTTTAACAACCCCACTTATTCCCCTCCATTTGCTCCTCTTATCAAGCCTTTTGCTAAAATCTTAAGACCCACAATCCACCAAAGATCAGCCCTTTTCTTTTGTTTCGTTTTCCCGTTCTGTTCTGATCAATTTTATTTTTTTGGGTTGCTGTGATGGCGGATATTGTGAAACAGATCTTGGCGAAGCCGATTCAGTTAGCGGACCAAATAACGAAAGCAGCGGACGAAGCGAGTTCGTTCAAGCAGGAGTGTGCGGAGCTTAAATCCAAGACGGAGAAGCTCGCTGGCTTGCTCCGACAAGCGGCCCGTGCGAGTTCCGACCTTTACGTACGTCCCACGCGCCGCATTATCGACGACACTGAACAAGTCCTCGATAAAGCCCTCTCTTTGGTCCTCAAATGCCGTGCCAACGGCATTATGAAGCGCGTGTTAACGATCATCCCTGCTGCTGCCTTCCGTAAAATGTCTTCTCAACTTGAGAACTCAATCGGCGATGTTTCCTGGCTTCTCCGCGTCTCAGCTTCAGCCGACGATCGCGACGACGAGTACTTAGGCCTTCCTCCGATCGCTTCTAACGAGCCTATTCTACACCTAATTTGGGAACAGATCGCGATTCTTTACTCTGGTTCACTAGACAACCGGTCCGAAGCGGCTGCTTCGCTTGTTTCACTGGCCAGAGACAATGATCGGTACGGGAAACTGATTATAGAAGAAGGAGGGGTTGCGCCGTTATTGAAATTAATCAAAGAAGGGACGGTGGAAGGTCAAGAAAACGCCGCCAGAGCAATTGGGCTTCTCGGCCGGGATCCTGAAAGTGTCGAGCACATGATCCAAGCCAGCGTTTGCACAGTGTTTGCGAAAATCCTAAAAGAAGGTCCAATGAAAGTTCAAGCCGTGACTGCGTGGGCGGTGTCTGAATTTGCAGCCCATTATCCCAAATGCCAAGATTTGTTTGCCCAACATAACATAATCCGATTACTGGTTAGTCATTTGGCGTTTGAAACTATTGAAGAACATAGCAAATATGCAATTGCTAGTCATAAGGCTTCAATCCATGCAGTGGTTATGGCGAGTAATAATAACTCAAATGTCAATAATGTGAAAAATGTTGTCGATGAAGATCACCAGCCTCAGATTCGGCATCCGATGGGGAACCGAAAGCCGAATCAGATGGATATGCATAATGTGGTTACAAATACTATAGCAATGCAAGGAGGGGTGAAGCTACCACAAAAGCCGAGTAATAATCATGTTGGCTATGCCAAACAAACACACCAAGTTAATTATCTGCATCAGCAGAATGGTTCGATGTCAGGGGTGAATACTAAGGGAAGGGAATCGGAAGATCCTGCTACCAAGGCTTACATGAAAGCAATGGCAGCTAGAGCTTTATGGCATCTCGCTAAGGGGAATCCACTTATCTGCAGGAGTATAACCGAGTCCAGAGCATTGCTTTGTTTTGCGGTTTTGTTAGAAAAAAGAACAGAAGAAGTGCGGTTTAATTCGGCTATGGCATTGATGGAGATTACAGCTGTGGCAGAGCAGGATCCTGATTTGAGAAGGTCTGCATTCAAGCCCAATTCGCATGCTTGTAAGCTCATAGTCGACCAGCTGTTGAAGATATCTGAGCAGGCTGATTCAGAACTGCTGATTCCTTGTATCAAGGCTATTGGTAATCTGGCTAGGACGTTTCGAGCGACGGAGACAAGGATGATTGCACCGTTGGTTAAACTTCTCGATGAAATGGAAGCCGACGTTTCCAAGGAAGCTGTGATTGCACTTGCCAAGTTTGCTTGCACAGACAACTATCTACACCTCGATCACTCCAAGGCAATTATTAGTGAAGGAGGTGCAAAGCATTTGGTCCAGCTTGTGTACTTTGGGGAACAAATTGTTCAACTCCCAGCATTACTTCTCCTATGCTACATTGCCCAACATGTACCGGACAGCGAAGAACTCGCGCAAGCCGAAGTCCTCTCGGTGCTCGAATGGGCGTCGAAGCAATCCAACTTGACCCAGAATGAAACGGAGCAGACGCTTTTACAGGAGGCCAAAACTAGATTGGAGTTGTATCAGTCTAGAGGTTCAAGGGGATTTCATTGATCCAATATCGTATCATGATTCTAATAGAGTGTCCATAGACTTAGAGGTCTTCCATAGTCTATGATAAGTATTTGCACACTTGTTCTCCTGTCCGAATCACAACCATTTGTTAGTTTATAAATTATTGTTAAATTCACTTATGAAAAGTTTGCCTTTTGTTATGTAGTGGTGGTGTTTCATGCTGGAAGTGAATGTTAAACATTCTGTGTCTCATTTTACTCTTGTTATGTGGACTTTAAGATATATTATATTATATTCACATATTATTTTTCAATTTTTTAAGTAAAATAAATACATTCCAATTAACTCGGCTTGTAAAAATAATAAAAAATATAATTAGAAAAATATAATGACATAAAAGCACATTTAACCCTCAGTATTTATATTTTTACCAAATTAACTTATTTTTTCACTAAATTTGACCTAAATCTTCTTTTAAAAAAAGTTGGATTGTTATGTCAAAATGTTAAAAGTTTAACGTTTTAGTTAATATCTATTAAAAAAATAACTATTCAAATGATTTTTTAAAAGACTACGGGCTAATTTCATCTCTTTCTAATATGATTAAATTTAGCTTAATAAGTACACATCAAATGGTCTCGGTAGTTAAAGGATTTGTTATTATCGCTTGAGGTTTCAGATCCGAACACCATATATACAGGAATATGAACATATATTGTCAAATTATAGAGTCTTTAAACATATATTATTACTTTGTATTCACCTAAAGAATTATAAAAAACTTCATAACTTCGCTGAATCAAAGTTCTCTCAAGTTCTGACACACTACAGATTTCTCACACGGGTTTCATTGTTTAGCCACTACAATCAACATCCATCTCCGTTCCAACATTGCGGTTAACTACAACGGTTAATTTCCGCGATTCCGACGTGTTTCGTTCCGCATATCGTACTTCTTTGTGTTTGAAGATTTGGATTTGAATCTTTCAACAATTCGCTATCACTTCATATGAGAAAATGAAACTAAGGAAGAGCATCCGGGGATGTTAATTTGCTCTCAAAAAAGCACAAGGGCAGTGCATTGACCTTTATGCACACGTGGGATTTAAATTGTAATTGCAATAATAACATATATTATTGTAATTATCGCGGCCGCAGAAATGAGAATGTTTCGATGAACATGTGGTAGGATTTTGTGGGACATGACATCAAACTCTGCTATTTCAATGTCTTTGGGGGTGGTGCTTGTATCCGGAAAATTGAGGGAGGGAAGACTACGGTTGTTTGGGCATGTCCTTAGGCGACAACCGTCGAATGCGGTCAGGAGGGTAGAGTCGATTTCAGTCGACGGTGCCAGAAGGAGAGGACGACCAAGGAGGAAGTGGGTAGACAGCTTGAGATCTGATTTGAAGGATTTATCTCTTACAGAGGACATGATCTCTAATAGAAAAGTATAGAGACTTAAGACCAGGGTAGCCGAGTAGTGTGGGTCAACAGCCATTGGGTGTAGCGGGTGTAGCATCTTTGTCTTCTTTTTAATTACCTTTGTTGTAATTTCCATGACCTCTACTTTTTATATGTTTTCTATCATTGGAATTTAGGAAGTCTTTGAACTACGGTAGAAAAGTAGTGTTGCCTTAATTTAGGTTTTAATCCATTTTAACTTATATTCATTATCGTAGCTTGCTAGCGCTGACATGCGTATATCTTTTTCTTCATGTTTCCTCTTTTTAAATTAATCCAGGACTTACGTTTTCTGTCTATATGCAGAGATTTTTAAGCAGGGTTTATTTGCAGGGATTACTTCTCATTACAGACGCGCATATGAATGACTGCATATGAATTGCCGGAGGTCTTCCACGGAAGCTGCTCTTAACTTGGCGTTGGGGACAACCTACAAACCTACTTTCCCTTACCCATTGCATATGAGAATAGGATTTTGTTGTTGTTGTTGTTGTTGAAGATACTATTTTTTTATCCATTTTATTATTATTATTATTAATATTATTATTATCATTATTAATATTATTATTATCATTATCATTATTATTATTATTTTTTTTTATTATTATTATTATTTTATTATTAAATATATTAAATACATATAAATTACAAACCAATTACAATTCAACCGGCCCAGTTACAAACCAAATGAAACCGGTCCAAAACTAACTAGAAACCCTAAATGTTTAGGTTTCCAGTTAGGGTTTCCTAACCCTAATCATCCCCAGCCGCCATCTTCAATCTCAACCGTTGGATCTGGTTTGATCCAACGGTCCACCATTTGCCAGAGGAAACCCTAGGGTATCTATACCCTAGGGACACGTCCCAGCGCCGCCGCTGCTGCTTCCAGAAGCCCTCACCGCCTCCGCCGCTGCCACGTCCCAGCCGAAGACTCCAGAAACTAGAACACCGGCCGTCCACGCCAAGGCTATGGGGTGAGTCACCACTGGTAGTCCGGTGACTCACCGAAGCCCCCTCTTCGGACCGGTCCGAGACGAACACCGGTGGTGGCTATAAAAGCCACCACCCACCTGCGAAAAAAAAAGAGGGGAGACAGCAAGAAGAGACAGAAACAGAACCGAAGAGAAAAAAAAAAAAAAAACAGAGAAAAAAAAAACAACAAACTATACCAACGATCTCAGCAGCAAAGAATCAGAAAAAAAGAAAGAAAAAGGAAGAAGAGACTTACCGAGGAAGCGTCGACCACCGGATCTCGTCAGAACCTTCGAAACATCGAAGGTATTATTTTAGATTTGCTCCGATTGGGAGCAGTTTAACGGGAAAAAACGTCGGAACCGTCATTAGGACGGTCCGATCTACGCTTAGATGAAAGAAAAAATTTTCCGGCCACCAAAGACGGTGGCCGGCGGCGGTGGTTGACGGCAGATGAACGCCGGTTAACGACGGCCGGCCGGCTGGGCTTCTCTCTGTGTTAGAGAGAAGCGAGAGAAATTTCTCTCTCTCAGAGAAGAGAGAGAGAAGGAAGAAATGAAATGAAATGGCTGGCCCTTCGGGCCAGCCGATTTGGACTTTTATAGTCCTTCCCAAACGACGCCGTTTTGGGAAGGACTATACGCGTAATTTTGAAATAATTAAACCCTGTCCGCAGTCCCTTGTATTTATAAATTTTACATTTTGGTCACTAAACTGAATTTATAATATTTTTAATTTAGTCTTTGAATTTTAATTTTATTCATTTTAGTCCTTTTTATTAAAATAATATATTTAGGATAAATGACAGATTCAATCCCTTAATTTTAATAAATAATTTTTTAATCCCTAGTTCATATTTTTAATTTATTCTATTATAAAATTTGATTTTTAAATAGTTTTAAATTAGTCACTAAATTAATAAAATACGAAAATAACATGTTTAAACCCTATAATTTTAATTAATTATGAATTAGGTTTTTTTAATTTTAATTTTTACTATAATTTAGTCACTAATTTTAAATGTTTTCATTTATTTTACCACTTTTAAATATATTGTTCTAATTATATTTTTATTGTTTTAATTGTTTATATATTTAAATAATTTTACTATTATTATATAGTCATAAATATATATAATGAATAATAAATAATATTTTTTTTAATAAATTATTTTAATATTATTTTTTTTATATATATCGAAGAAAAGGACAGTCTTAATACAACTGGATGTCCTATTCTGATATTTTAAAAAATTAAAAATTAAACAATATTATTTAAATTAATATTTATCAATATCAAAGAAAAGAGCTGTCTTAAGGCACCTAGAAGTTCTTTTCGGATATTTTTAAATAAATAAATTTTTATATATAATTTTGAAATAATAGAATTATAAATTAAATATATTTCTGAATTTTAAATTTTAATAATAGAGACAATTTATAATTAAAAAGTACCAATTTTGGGCGTTGTAGGGGTGCTAATCCTTCCCTAAACGTAACCGACCACGAATCTTTTTTTTATTATTAAAAAGAACGAATTTTTGGTTATAAAACGCAGATCAGTTCATCTTTTAAATATGGTTTTCTTAAAAACTCTTTTAAAAGATAATTTTTAGGTATTCGACCTACCTGATCCAAAAGGTCGATGGCGACTCACAAATTATTTTCAAAATTAGTTATTAACATTAATTTCCCCGTCAAATTTTAATATTTCGTTCCCGGACGAAAACCGGTTACGACAGCTTGGCGACTCTGCTGGGGACTGGTCAAACTTTTAAAAATTAATTATAAATTGTCTCTATTAGCTAAAAATTAAAAATTTATATATTTAATTTTTAATTCTTTCTTTTCAAATTTTTTATTTATTTATTATTTTTATAATATTTATATGTTTTATTTGCAAGTACTTTATTTCAGTATTTATTTTTCTGTCAAAGGTTTGAACATTTCTCCTCACACACAACACTTGCATTGCATAACATAAAGCTCTATAATTGAGTTGTCCCTTTTAAGTGGAAGTGAAAGCGACGTCTTCGTGAGAATTTATTCTCCGTGTCAGACCTAGCAAGTAACTTTCGGGGTTCATATGCTCTATGTCTTCGTGAGAATTTATTCTCCGTGTCAGGCATAGAGAAATGTATCCCCTCGAATTGAACTCAATCCACTTTAGTCTGTAATGGACTAGGATTGAGGGTTAGCAACCCAAGGGGGCACTAACAAGGACAATTCGGGTACCTTTACTCCTAGATCTGAAACCCTGCATATAAAAAAACTTTAGAAACTCTTCCAATCCGAAGTCATGCCGAAATTTTGTCCAAAATAGGTGTACACACAGGAGAAATGAATTCTGTCCTTCATGTTAATCTATTTATTGTTTAAATTACATGTTTATTTAAATTATTTAAATTTAGAAAAGCATGTTTAAATTAAATAAATGTTATTATTGAATTTTTTATGTAAACTAATTTATTTTCTTTTTTGTGTTCTTTATTTTTCTGTTTGCATAGCATCATACAGGATAAAAGACATTGATCCTTGTGTTAATAGTCTCATTGGAAAACCTTCATCCATGGATAAAAAGGGTTCAAATCAAGTAATTCTAAACTCAGAAGTAAGACAGTGGGCTGAAGATTTACAAAGACAAGAAGGAGACAGTCTGCAGGATGATTATGTATCTGACTTGGCCAGTTATGCTTCAGTTTCACTAAAAAGAAATGATCTGCAAGATTTGCGAGGTATTTGGGAAAGTTGGGATTCAAACAAAAAATT